AAACGGTTTGTTTCCGAGATACAGGGTGTTAAAAGTGAAGTCCTGATGAAACATTTTTGTAAATATTTTCCAAACTTTTCCAAAATTTGGTACAAATGCTAAACTTTATACGCTCTATTTAATGGACTAAACGCCAGTCTTTGATCATCTTCATAGGTGGGTAAATTAGGGGAGGAGCTTAGTGTTAAATTGTCCTAACTTTTTTGTTGACCTTTTTAACTACAAAATTTGGAAAACCGATATTTTCTTTATAATGAAGCTACTTTTGTTCTATCTTGCATTTGAAAATTTCATGATAAGTTAATGTTATCTTATTCGAAAGTAGTGTAAACAATGATTAGTAGGCCTGTGGAATCAGAAATTTTATTTTTTTTTTAACTTTGGAAAACCGACGACAAAATAAATATTAGAAAATATTTACAAAAATGTGCCATCAGGTCTTCACTTGTAACACCCTGTATCTCGAAAACAAAACGTTTTCGGACCTATGTTTATATGCACTTTTACTTCTATTTTAGGATGTAGATTACGCTGTTAAAATATGACAGTCTAATTTCGGGACCCCCTGTATATTTTTCTTAATAAACATTTCTATTTAAAACGGTGGGCGAGTCCAACATATTACCTATTTGTTAAGGAATATTAATAATCCAGACGACTAAAGGATTAAAAGTCAAGTTTATAAAAATAAAATTTTAGTCTAACCTTGACCCAGATAATTGACAAATTAGTATGGTGGCTCATCACTCATCAATATATCTAGTATGTAACTGGTTTTGAAATGGACACAATAATTAATAATTAGGCGTTGATAATGCATCGACTATATTTTATTAGAACAAAAAAATAAAAGTAATAATAATATATTAAGTCAAGCCTCTGTTTGTTTTTCCAAAATGTTTAATGTTATTAACATTCAAGGTTTAAATTTTCTAGTTTTACTTCTAAGGTTCGTAAAAATATATATGTTACGGTCAAACATGATATTTTGGTCTTTAACGATATTGGCCGGTCATTGTAGTAAATTTCCTATTTGATTGGGCATAATTGATAATAACCGGCCAATAACGTAAATATCCGCTTAAATTGAACAATGTTGATAAACTATAAATAACATAGCTTTTTTACGACTCTGCCCGGGCGTTATCGTTAGCGCCCACTTATGTGTGGGCCGCAAACCGCAACGATTTGGATTTGAATAAAATACATGGTTATGTTTTTGTTTACATCGCTATTTTCTGGCTTTCCGCGCGGGCGATGGATTGGATATTTCCAAAGTTGAAAATAAAAATTTTCTCCGTGACTAGCAGTACATCGGATGTACACAAACTATTTGTACATCGGATGTATCCCCCATTATTTGTACATCGGATGTATCCCCCATTATTTGTACATCATAATTCTAACCTAACTTTATTTCAGATGATGGAGTGGAAGACTTAGGTATTTTTCTGTAGTATTTTATAAACCTTAGAAGCAAATTTCACATACATGAACAAATAATAATAATAATGCCGTGACAACAAGAAGACGAAGGAACTAGTTCTCGTAGAAAATTTCAATCCATACCTGGCTACGCCGACCGGCATAAACACCAACGGCCTGGACACAGCTCACCTGCTCTGTGAAAAGGAGACCGATGTACAAATAAAGCGTTTACATCTGATATACTGCTTGTCACTGTCAAAAAATTTAAGTCACAGTACCAACTTAATTCTTTAAAATCAACTTCACCCACTTATTGATAGTCAATGTCGTTAATGACCGGACAAAGATGCAAACAAAAAATATTATCAACATTGTCCACGATTAATGGGCATTTTCGTTACTGCCCAGATAATAACGATATTGACCAGCAAGTATGGTTGCTGACGTTAGTGTCCGGTCAATATGATCAATGCTTAATTTACAATACTGCCCGTAACATATATATTTCTTACGAACTTTAACAGAGTACTTTTAAGTAGTGAATATCTGGATGGAATTCGAAGAATATGTATAGTCGTTAAACCTACTGCCCCAAAAAAAGTTAATATGGAAATAAAAAACAAATATAAATTCTAAACAAGCACTTAGATTTGACCCAATTACTGGGGACATTTTGAAACTCCTTCTAAGACAGCTATTGTAAAATTGACTTATTTCATCTCATCGATGCGCTCTTAAGAATAAAGTATGCATCAAAGATATGGAAAGTAGCAGGTAAATCTAACCATGAAGTTCCTATCTACAAATTTATCTCCTGGTTGTCCGTTATCTCAAAATTCTAAAAAAATGTATTTAATTAATTGAAGCCTATATCTAATACTCTATCAGTTTAGTTTCAGAGAAAACCACTCGACTATCGACCAAGCTAGAAGAGAAATAGTTAGCTCCGTCGTGTTAGACAAGGCTCTGGCTTTCGACAAAGTATGGCATAAAGGCCTAATTCATAAACTTAAAAGCCTATTTAAAGGAAAAGTACTCCAGAATAAAATAGGAAGAAGCCTCTTCTGAGGCAGAACTCAAGATAGTGAACTAGGTTTAGTACTCTATTTAGTATATTCTAGAGATATCTCTAATCTTAAAAACAAATACTATTTCAACATTTGCTATTTATCATCCTATCCTGGTCGTTTGAAATTTTCACAAAGAAATTAAGAAAAAAATTGCAAAATAATCTATAGAGCGGATCAACACCTGGACGAAAAGAAAACACAATCAATATAATACGCTTATGTCAATTCAGTAAAATATTGGGTGAGATATGCCACTTGATACTAGATTTCGTTGTAGAGCCCATATTAAAAAAAAAAAAATGTAAAGAGCTCGATATAAAATACAAAAAAATGTATTGGTTGGTAGAAGAGAGCTCCAAAATGTCCACACTTATATGTAGGCAGGACATATATTATCTAGCGTTGTACCAGTAACAGTAAAATCTAAGGTTTTCTATTCTCAAAATAAAGTACTAAGCAAAATCGTCCATGCTCCCGTGTTGTTGCAACATTGATCTCCATATGAACCTTAAGGTGTAGACTTTTGAAAAGATAATAAAAAATTTGACAGTAGTCACCAATAACAACTGCTCTAATATGGGAATGTGGAGGTTATCAAATTTCTTACTAACGTCCATTTAGCGAGAAGACTTAAATGAAACAAACCTTTTTACTTGATTCAATGACGTTAGCTGAAAGCGGAGTTATAGTATAGTATACTCGAACGTTAACATAAGTGTAACTAAATAATTAGGCTCTAAAGGTACGTCTACATCTGACATTTATTGCATGAGATTTATGTCTGACAGTTGTTTAGTCCAGTGTAAACACTTAAACATATAGCTCCAAAAGAAATTTTTGTGTGTTTACACTAGACTAAACAACTGTCAGACATAAATCTCATGCAATAAATGTCAGATGTAAACGTACCTTAAGATACACTAGATAGTAGGATCTATGTTTATTAAGTTGTTCTACAGGGTGTTTCAAAAAGATATGTCATAAATTCATCCTCAGATAGAATACCAAAAAATAAACGGATTTGGCTATATTTACCTATATCAAAAACTGGCCCCCAACAAAGTAACAGGGTGTTAAACTAACAATCAGAAAAACTATTTTTTTCTTTGTAAAAAGTTTGCTATTGCGATTTTTTTTTCGAAATTTTTGACAGTGCTGTAGATTTGAAGGCCCAATATTCTAAGGAGAAAAAAAATTTAAAGCGTCCCCTTTAAAAAAGTTGGGGGTTAGGTACCTTTTAACCCCCCCTTATTTTTTTGACATAAAGAAACTTGCTTTATCGATCCTAAAATCAAAAAGAACTATAAATTTTGAAAAAAAATTTATAGCGAAATGTACTTTGTATCTTTCTTAGTTAACGGGCTATTTACAATTTTTTAACTGAATTTCTAGAGCAATTCGTCCGTCCTGGACTTAACATATCAACAAAACTAAGAGTAGGTCAGGAGTAATTGTACAAAAAAACGCATACAAAAATCAGTTGTGTTCCTAGGACTGTCCTTGAGCCGCCCCTGCAAAAACTACCTCTTTTATTTATATTTTTGTAAAAAAGGTATTTATAATATTGGATTGGCGCCATAAAAATGGTGTGTCACCCGTCCTCATGGGTTTACCATGCCACTGATAAAAATACACGTTAGTTGGGAAATATATTTATTAAATTTAATAGTAAATAAAAAAATATTTTTTTAATTAAACAATTAACAAAAAATTAACCATTAAAAATAAACATTTGGTAATAATTATTATACATATTTTATAAACTATTTAATTTAGTAAACATTCAACATATCCTCCTCCTTCTTGAATACAAAAATATAAATAAAAGGGGTAGTTTTTGCAGGGGCGGCTCAAGCATAGACCTAGGGACACCACTGATTTTTATATGCGTTTTTTGTACAATAACTCCTGGCCTACTCTTAGTTTTGTTGATATGTTAAGTCCAGGACGGACAAATTGCTCTAGAAATTCAGTTAAAAAATTGTAAATAGCTCGTTAAATAAGAAAGATACAAAGTTCATTTCGCTATAAAAAATTTTAAAAATTCATAGTTCTTTTTGATTTTAAGATTAATAAAGCAAGTTTTTTTAGGTCAAAAAAATACGGGGGGGGGTTAAAAGGTACCCAACCCTCCAACTTGTTTTAAAGGGGTCGCTTTTAATTTTTTTCTCCTTAGAATGTTGAGCCTTCAAATCTACAGCACTGGCAAAAATTTCGATGAAAAAATCGCAACAGTAAACATTTACAAAAAAAAAAAACGTTTTTCTGAATGTTAGTTTAATACCCTGTAACTTTGTTGGGAGCCAGTTTTTGATACAGGTAAATATGTCCAAATCCACTTATTTTTTGGTAATCTATCTGAGGATGAATTTATGACATACCTTTTTGAAACACCCTGTGTATAAGTTAGGTTGGAATTCTTAAATTTAAAATAGAAATATTAAAATAAAAAAAAATTATTTTTAAGAGGTTTTATCAAATAATAAAAATGTGATTTTTTACCTGAAAATCCTAGATAAAACAATCCGATTACTAATAATATTATTCCAATTACCGCCACTGCTATGATAATTTTCTTGCGTTTTTCCTTGGTACATCCATGTCGAGCTGTTTCAACGTCCGCTGGATTAGCTGTTGGTGGTGGGTTTGCTGGTGAAAGTGATCTATGAATTTAAAATATAAAATGGGGTGAGTCAAAATGAACTGTACATACTTCTACCGTACTTAGCGGTATCGAGGAGTGTAATATGATCATTAAAAAGTTTCAACGTGCCTTCTTTATAACCTACAGGGTGATTTGTGAATTTTTTAATTAAATAGGTTCATTAAATTTTCTAAATTTTTGTAAAATATTACAATATTAAAAACCCGTATGCAGGGTAAATGATCCCGTACTTTTTACATTCATTTTGGGTACTGTCAGAATTTGTTTAACTTTAAGTATGTTATTTTTCAGGTTTTTAAAGGAAACTTTCTTATGGACCACAAGTAGACAGCTCTGCAGGGTGAGCTGTTAGAAGGATTCAAAAGTAAGGAGTGCAGAATTAATATTTTTAAATATATCTCCACCACTCTTAAATAATTTTTTTTCCATGAAACCTATGTCATGTGTTACAATTGTATATAGTTTTTTCGTGCTTACTTAGACTTTGCAAAATAAATCATACACCGTGTTCAAAAAATTAGGAATATCAGTTAGTGAAATATGGTGTATTTTTCAGGGTGTGATAGAGCTACATAAACATCTAAGAATTATAAAAATGCATTTAACAAAAAAACTTGGTATACCTAAAATATTGTAGAAAGTCCTGAAGCAAATTCAGTTTTGCTTGTAGGAAAATTATAGCTCTTCTTAACTTACCAAATTGCGTGCTACGGCTACTTAAATGTAGAAATAGTTCTGCTGACTCTGACTTGAATGTATGACTGAGAACACATTTATATTCTACTTAAAAAACATTTTCTGATTTTTATATACAGTAGAGATGTCAGATTATCACTTTACTTCTAAATATAATTCTATTTTTATAGATTTAGTAGGTTAGCGCTAGTTAAATTGAAACATTAAAAAAACACGTTGTAATCTTTGACATTTCAGAATACATTTGCTGCGTTTGTTTATCAATATCGGATGCATCTGATGGATGCGTCCGATGGGATAAACAAACGCTCGAGAGGTAAAAATCTTACATTAAATATTTTCTTCATTTTTTTGGGCTGTTATTAAGAACAATTTCAAAAGTTTATTATTAGAATTTTTTGATAGTAGGAAGATTATTTTTGTTGGGAATCTTTCTATGTGGCGTTCCTTTGTTTTTCTGCAATATATTCGAGATTTACAAAAACACTTCATTTATAGAGGAAAATGAAATTCAAGAGAATCTCATTACTAGATATTAGTGTACATGTAAGAATCTTTTAAGAACTATAGGCATGTGCGCTCATATTTCAAGTGTATTTCAGGTACCAGAATATGCACGAAACGAAAATTATATAAACTACCTAACCCTATGAGTTTTATTAAGGACTATTTTAATGTATGTAATAAAACAGGTTTTTAAGAATGCATATTTATTTTATATTGATTTATAATTTATCGACAAGTCTAAAAATCTATGCAAAGAAATAGTTATATGCTATGTCCTTCTGATACACCCTATATTATAAAATATTATTATTTATTATTTAATATAACAAATAAGTGATCAGAAGTCATCTTCTAAGTTTGGTAATAAATAAAAATTCATCTTATTATAGTAATTATACCTATTTTCTTGAACACCCTGTACAATTTATTTTACAAAGTGAAAGTAAGCATTAACAAACTATGCAAGTGCAACACATGCTATAGGTTTCATGAAAAAAATATTAATTACTTAAGAGTGGTAGAGATATATGTATATAAAAATATTAATTTTGCACTCCTTACTTTTGATTTCTTTTAACAGATCGCACTGTAGAACTTCAAATTTGAGGTGCATAAGAAAGTTGCCTTTAAAGGCCTGTAAAATAATATAATTAAATTTGAACAAATTCTGACAGTACCCAAAATCAATGTTAAAAGTCGTTTTTTGATATGAACTGTCCTAATTAATATTTTAATAGCATGTCCTATATTTCTGTAAATCTAGAACTAGTTTAACAAACAAATTAGGTTAATTTATAGTGAAGGTCATTTCATCAAACCATGATTGTATGTTGCTCATATTTATTTTCATCTGCGAATGATAGAAGCAGCACTTTAGATATATAGGTTATAAGTCCATGTATATACATAGAAAACAGTATTTGACCAAGCACAGTGCCTTGTGGAACACCATACGTTTCACTTATAACAACATGTAATTTAAGATTGTTCTCTCTTATTTAAATATGATTTAAAAACTTCTTATATTATTTGTACCTCTAATGATGGTGGGTGAGGTTTTCCGGGTTTTCCTCAAATGGCACCATCAATCATCTTTAAGTCGCTCCGGAGCCCCACGGCAAATAATAATAATAGCTGTCCCTTTTCCCGCACAAGCTCAGCTTTTGGGGTTAAAATTCACTCGGTGGTGAATTAGGGGGAGTATTATTATTATTAATTTCCAATCTGTCAAGAACATCAGTTATTTTTTGTGATCAACTATGTCGAATGCTTTAAATAAATATAAAAATACACAAAACAAAGCTTTATTTTTATCAAGTTCATTTTAAATATTACTTATTAAAAGTATATTGGATGTTCTTTGGAAATTTCTTTTTTATATCCAAATTTTAACGAGTCTTCTTCATTAATACTTTTTTTTATAATTTTTGACAGGATTGAAATCGGAGTTATAGGACGATAGTTTGCCATTTCTTTCATATCTCCTTTTTTATAATGGCTTAATAATCTCCATTTTAAAGCATGATGGAAAATGATTAGTTTCTAAAATGCTATTGATAATAACAGTTAACGGTTTTCTTTAATAAAGTCTTTTATTAATTTTAGCATTTCTATTTTAATGTCATCATAGGTTTAAGTTCATTTGTAAGGTTTGTATTAAATAATTGGTTCTAAGAATATAATAGAATATAGTTAATTTTTGGAATAGAAGTTATATTTTTTTACCGAATTAGAGATTTTTCTTACATTTTTTTATATTAGTAAAGAAATATTTTTCGCGGTAGACTCTACAGGTAAAATATTACTCATTCCTTTTGAATCACCTAGTTTATGGTAGAAGTATGTAAAGTTCACTGTATATAACTCATTAAAATAAAATGCTACTTCAGGTGTGTTAACATAGTTATGGAGGTGTATTGATAGATAAAACTGTGCATGACGTACATTTTTTATGAGGTGGGACCTATGGGGTGGATAATTGGACCAGAGGTTAGAGTGTGGATTTCCAAATCCAAGAGTCTGGTTCAAATCCCACCGATTTTTTCTAATTAAATTAATTATTTAAAAATAAATTTTGACTATTGATTAATTAATAGTTCTGTTTTTAAAGTGACGCTGAGAAACAGTACCAAATCCTGCACATACTACACATTAATAAAGAAAAATTCAAATTAAATTAAGACTGGTGAATTGGGTAGCTACTACCAAAGCAATATTAGTAAAATAAGGAAAAAGAGGTGTGACCTAATGAAACTATTAAATGAATGGCCTTAAACTAATTTTGTAATGGTATTGACAATGTTGTATAATAAATTACCCTCAAAAGAAAAGTAGTCATTAGGATAATAAATTAATTATTAAAAAACCTAAAATAAATTATTTGTTACATCATAAAACATTTTTAGTGCTAAATTAACATAAACGAAGTTATAGTTTATTTGAAAATGCATGAGAGCAAAATTTTTATGACCCCATCATGAATCAGTGACGGAGAATTTCTAAAATAAAATGTTTAGCATTATTTGTTCCAAAATAAAATCTTTGGTTTTCTTCTTAAAATTTTTAAAAATACCAATTTATTTCAATTCTTGTCTTAAATTTTCTAGTCATTTTAATCAACAAAAATAAGTATGTAATCTTTACAGGTTGAAAATATTTACAATTCAAGATCAATTTAAGTAGCTTTTAACTTTCTTAAAAAAAATAAAAATTTCTAATCGGCAGAAAGTTATGAAGATTGTAAATTATTGTAATTAGGATTTACATTTCTGTTTATATAGTCCTGTGATTGTAACACGTATAATTGTGAGTTCTGTAATAATAGCGATAAAAAAGCGATGTAGATCAAGTGAATTTGTGCAATAAAAATGGCACAAACGTCTAATTAGATTCTTGTTAGTGCAGGGCATAGTGGCGCATTCGTTTGCAAAATTGTTTTAATTCGTAATTTTTTTTAAAATGTCCGGAAGGCTTTCCTGATTATAAAAGTGTAAGATGACACTCGATATTTGTTGATGGTATTGTTTAAACAACGAAAAATTAATTAAGCCAAAAAATGCATTTTTTGCAATGAATTAATTTTTTTTATATTCTTTAGGATATTTCGAATAAAAAAAGTCCTTTTTAAAATCCGAAATTGACGAAAATTCTAATTTTCTTGAATTAAATAATATACCTTAAAATTTAAAATGCTATAATTTTAAATTTTTAACCGAATATTCAAACTATAATAAACAAAAAAACCTAAATAATTTTTTAAAATTTAGTTTGTTGATATGTTTTTTTTTTACGTTATAACAATATGCTTCCTACGCGCGTGTACTTTTAGAGATAAGTACTTCTATCTCACTTTTTTAGAGGTAATAAGTTTGTTATATTTGCCGATTAATAGTTTTGTATCATGTGATTTTTTTGACTTTTTTAGATATTTTTTTATTTATTAAACTTAACAGAAACATTTATTTATAACATTTATTTTTATTAATAAAAAAATTATTGTCAGATACTGCCTGAGAAGTAAAATCTTCTTCAACCTTTTTTTTTCAATACGATAAAAAGGCCAAATGCACTTGTGATCCGTGAAAAATTTCTACCTGTTACAATGAACATAGTAGGCTTACTGGGGTTATAAAATTTTATGATTTTAAAAATATCCAAGTCTTTCTCCATTTAACAAAAATAAGGAAAAAATTTTTTTTTTCTAATATTGAGAGTAAGTACTATAAATATGAAATTTTTTTACGACTTTCAATCTTTTGCACTATGAATTCAAATAGGTAAAGGGACTTATTTCGTATTTTGAAAAAATTGTACGTTTAACTCTTCTTCTATTTTTTTTTCCTGTCATAAACAATTTTTACAACCTTCCAAATAGAAAATTCAACCCTATCTTAGAATTTTTGGCTCGTTTTGAAAATTATTTTTCAGTTGTTAATCAGTCTTACTCGATTCTACATCTACTGGTTTACTTTGTAGTCGTGTCATTTTCTAAGTAATAATGTCGTTCTCTTTAATTCCAAAAAAAAAATTAAATTATGTGACGACAAAAAGTATTTATTTTGTGATCATGGCGAGGCGTTAGTGAAGTGTCCGAAACCTGATACATATTTAAAATTAAAAAATGCAACTCTTCTTTGAAACGATAATGTGACTGTGCGATTTAATTTGTTGTTTAATGAAAATACTAGTGAACAATTTTTTTCTTGGCATCGTGGCGCGTAGGAAGCATATTGTTATAACGTAAAAAAAAACATAACAACAAACAAAATTTTGAAAATTTATTTAGGTCATTTTGTTTATTATAGTTTGAATATTTGGTAAAAAATTTAAAATTATAGAATTTTAAATTTTAAGGTATATTATTAAATTCAAGGAAATTAGAATTTTCGTCAATTTTGGATTTAAAAAAATTCATAACAATTAAAGGGTTGAAGATACGATGATGAGCGTAGGAACTTTTTTATTCTAAATATCCTAAAGAATATAAAAAAAATTAATTCATTGCAAAAAATGCATTTTTTCTGGCTTAATTAATTTTTCGTTGTTTAAACAATAACATCAACAAATATCGAGTGTCATCTTACACTTTTATAATCAGGAAAGCCTTCCGGACATTTTAAAAATAAAATACGAATTAAAACAATTTTGCAAACGAATGCGCCAGTATGCTCTGGTCTATGTGAAATTAAAGTGCAATTTAACCGTGCATATGAAAGCTTTAGTGTTAAATGTACAAGTAGCTCTTGTATATGAATATTTTAATAGTAGTGTTTGGAGTATAGTTCCTAAGTGTTCAACTATAACCGGAGTTGGAGAAGCAACCATTTATAGACTTTTGAAGAAACGAAAGGATGGTAGTATTACAGTAGCACCTTAAATGTCAACTGGAAGAAAACCCATTTAAACATACGGTACTATGAAACAACTGATCTGTTAAAAGAGACAAATTGTGGAAAACTTTACTTGAATTTTTCGTTTAGGAGAAGAACGATAGAAAAACTGCGCTCACAGAAAAACATGAAATTAATTGTTAGAGGAGGCAATATTAAAGGGAAATTAGAAAATTTAGAAGAAAAAAATATTTTTTATTTTGATGAAACTTGGATAAATGAAAGAAATTTTGTAAAAAAAAAAATTGGTAAAATAAACAGATTACAAATGCTCGTCAGGCATTTAAAGAAGGCTTAAAATTTCTAAATGTTAAAGGTCGCCGTTTAATTATCAGTAGTAATACTATAAGTACTTTAAAATAATCAGGTTATACATCGATAACTTGTTGCATAATTATAAAGAATGTCAGTTTGACAGTTTAAATTATTCTGTCAAACTGACACGATTTGTAATTATGCAGGAAGTTTGAGATGTATAACCGTATTTATTTTGAAGTACGTATTGTATTTGATACGATTATTTTTTGAGTAAATTAAGTAAATATCAACAATTTATTAATTCGACTCATTTTAAAATAATTATTGATAAACGTCAAAATTTGACGGTCCTGTTAGTTAGTGTATTGTTGTCGATGTGGTTACTACGGAAATGAAATTATTGTAAATATTTTTGATTGGTGGAGCTACTCTCTGTATAATCAGGTATTATCGAAATTATACGAGGTAACTTAACTAAATTGAACGTTCTAATTGGTTAAAAGTTATACGAAAAAAATAATCACTCATATTGGAGGAGATAAAGGATTTGTTGATGGAGGCTTGTTAGAATTTGTTTTAAATTCTATGAAGAAATGACTGCTGATGTTTTTGAGGAATATTTCAGTGAAATGATAGATTTAGTATCGACTAATTCTGTAACAGTTATGGAAAATGCCAGTTACCATTCAAGATTAAAGGAACCGTTTCCTAACACTTAATGGAAAAAGCAAGAATTTTCCGATTAGCTAATATCCAAGAAAATAGTGACAGAAGAGGGATTAGTAAAAAAAAAATTATTGCAGTTTTAGGTAACCAACATTCACCAAAATTTAAGAAGTATAATCTAGATAAAATAGCAAAAGAAAATGGAGTTAAAGTATTGCGGTTACCACCATATCAATGTAAACTTAAATTAAACTAATCTGGGCTCAAATGAAATGATATCTCGCGAGAAACAATACAAAATTTAAACTTCAAGATATTCGTCAAAAATTATGTGACTCCATATCAAAAATTTCACTGGACAATTGGCCAAACGCTGTAAGATCTGTCATAACAGAGGAAGAGAAATTCTGGAAACTTGATATGTTAATAGAGAAAACAAGGAAATAATGGAACCAATTATTATTTCTGTGGAAAGTAAAGAAACATGATGATGACTCCTTATTGGGAGGAAACGACTTATTTATTTAGTTATGTAACTCTATATTTATATTAATTATAATAAGTTAATATGGACGCTAGTACCCGAAATACAAACAAACAAATTTATATGGAATCACTCTGTATTTTTACAAACGAAATATCTGTTTGATGAGAAAAGTTTTTGTTTAGTATATCATATAAATTTAGTTGTGTGTATATTTATTATTAAAGAAAATGTCCTAACCTAATATCTAGTATACTATTTTGATAAAAATAAATGTGGGTATTTAATATTGACAATTTACTTTTTTTTATATAAGTAATTTCGTTTTCCCCGTTACTGAGGTATATAATTATTGGTTAATCCCTTAAGGTTTGCTCATATACATTTTACGATTTATTGTATTTGAGATTTTTCGAGGTGGTCATACTAAAATCTAGTAAAAATTCAGATAAAAAGGTATCAATATTTATATTTTTTCTGCTTTGAACAATCCTTTGCCATAAAAACTGTGCCATTTTCAAATAAACTATAGAAAATTAAAAAAAAAATTAATTGAATAAATTTGTTTGGAAAGAGAAAAATTTCCAGTGCAATAAACACTTTTTGCAGGAGTATCATAGTATCATAGTAGCCGTGATCGTGTACCTTTGTTTGAGGCATTTATTTACGTTTGTGTTCATATTTTGTAATGACATTTTTAATAAAACACATTTTTTTATTAATTTATTTATTAAATGATTGAAAATAATATGAAATATGCAATTTTTTTTAAAACGTAACACAGAAAATGAAAATGGACTAAATATTTGGCTTGGAGTGAGGGTAGCCATATGTGAGTAGTAGGGATTAAGTGTACACTTAATAAATATTTGGCGTTGATTTGAATATTTATGCTTGTCATGATCATAAAACGCTGTAGTAAAATGACAGATAAGTGTAATAAAATTTTTATTACACTAGTGCAATAAAGAACCAGTTTTTTCACTAAATATAGTTCAATAAAGTTTTGTTTTTTGCATGAACGTGGAAAAAAGTATTTTATTGAATGTCTTTACAATTTAATATCATCCATCACTAAGTTAGCTCCTTGGGAGAACAAATATCGTCTCCAATTTTTTGTGCCGGGTAACAATAATTCTTGTTCCATTGGGATGTTTAAAATCTGCGTCGTGAGTGACTCTTTTGTTTATTGTTCTGGCATGGCAACCTTTCAATTTCCGCAGGGCCAAATAGTAAATCAAACATTTTTAGGGGATCCTTGACTGTTTGCGAAAAAGAGTTTTGCGTGTGCGACATGACATTACCCCAGCTCATGTAGCTTACATAGTGATTATTCTCCATATCACAACTTATTATCAGTTAGATAATTTTTAGTAAAGAAAAACATTTCAGTACATAACTTCATGTGATTATTTTCTTCTTCCAACATTTAAGCGGAAATTGAAAGGTTTCCATTACGAAACAATAAACAACGCAGGTTCCAAACAACCTAATGGCACAAACTTTCCAGAATTGTTACCAGAAATAGAAAACTCGCTGAAGACGCTGTGTGCATTCCCAATGAGCATACTTTTATTCTCATTAATTCAAAACCATACCTCGTTTACAATTTTTCAAACTTGTTTATTTTAATATTTTGTAAAATATTCATGAAAGTGTGATAATTTTTGTTTGAGGAATTTTCGTTTTATATATTGATAGCCTATTTTAAAAGTATGATTAAATTTATCCACTTGTATATCCTTAAAGATAAAAATGTCATCACAAAGAATCTCCATTAGAATTGGGCTATATTTCAGGAACTGTTATTTAATATTGTTAATCTTGGTACACTGATATTATTTAGGTACATGTTTTTCCAAAAAGGTATTAACGAATTAAAATTTATTATTGATTTGAAGAACCATAACCTCATTTATTTGAATTTATATACTTTTCCCTGAATTGACGTGTAAGAGTCTCGCTTATTTCAAATTTCCAGAGATCTATATGGACCATCCCAAATTAGGAAGAAATTAGTTTTGATTGTTATGTTATATTGAGTATGGGTATTAATGCAGTGCGACCTAAAAGATCTATTGTGCCCCCCTTCTATGGCTAATACATCGATATAGTGGTTTTGATTAGAATTTACATTTCTGAACAGTGTTATTTTCTAAGGGTGAGTACTCAGTAATTACTTCACTGTTGTAAGTAATAGTTAACATTATTAATGACTATAATATTGAAGTTATTATTTAATAGTTTTAGAAAACGGTAGATTTAATAATTTTGTAACTTACCCATTTTTCATTTTGGTATCTCCAAAAACCACCACTGTTAAAATTTTCTGTAGATCAGGCAAAGATGCGAATTCGGGTGCTGTAGTAGCTTCGCTAACGTATAAGTAAGTGTATTCTTTGAAGTAAATAACCAGTATAATTAATGATACATATACAGACACGCTGCCGCGTTTTAGGAGGAGGCTAAGACTAGACACAAGTGCAATTAAATTCCAGCAGGAAGGTACCCGTATAATTTCAGCAGTGGCTGATATTACGTAACCATTGAGTTTAATAATCGCACAAAATATAATGTTGAAAACCTCATAGTGAAAATTCTTTAATTAATTTTCTGTTGATGATAATGCTTCGGGATACGAGACATTTATGGTCTTGACTTCAACGAATTAAGCAGAGGAAATAAACAAAAACTTCTATTTGCACAAATAAAGACGCTATATTAAAAATATTAAATGGAATTTTATTCATTATTAATTTACTTGTTTAATTATTTTATGTTCTGTGTATGTTCCTGTGAAAACTCATCACCCTGTGGAAAAGAAAATACAAAGCTATGGATTTAGAGCATAACTTAATAATCGTACCAGCTGAAAATATATAGGTAATGACGCAATCTTAGTAAATTTAAATTTAAATAAGCGATAATAAAAATCTGAACATCATTACCACATAAAACGTTAACTAAATGTTAACAAAGGCAACCGGTATCGACTCGAGAGCCATCTTCAGGTCCAAAAGGAAGGTACATAGGGTAAAGAAAAATACAAAATTGCAACATACCATAAAAAAATATAAATTAAACTATATATTAGGGTCAAGTCGATGATCATCACAAGCAGTAATTAAACATTAATTATAATTAAAATAAATCCTATAACATAAGACAAATCCTTTAAAAGAAGTGTCTGGTACTGAATAAAAGATTAAATTCCTAAAAAAAAACTTTAAAATGATCAACCCGCATCGTGTGGTAGTGCTGAGTGTAAAATTGCGGAATACTGCAAGATTGGTAAGAACCAGAATTTAAGAATTAAAAGGGCCAATATTTATAAGGTATTGGAATGAGTTGCGTTCCAGGTTGTAGTGAAACCTTCAGAAATTTAAGTCCAATGCATATACAGAGGAAGTGGCTGATACCAATATAACTGAAGCGACTCCCTAAGAAACCGGATTTAATCGGTATCAACAAATTAAAATAGAATGAAATATCAATCAATGCTTTGTTTTTTGGCCTGACTAGATCTACTGTTCTGGATAAAGGGCGACCCTGATTCATTAACGAAGGTTATAGCAGTGTTCTTTTATCATTAAGTTCCAGTCCGCTGTTATGTTGATTGGGAGTGGATACCTCTTCTGTAACGTTTGGATTTGGCCTATCTGTCACGAATGACGGTGTAAAATTTACTTCTTAAAATAGGTCGCGGTTGAATTGAAAGATTCCTAATTTCGAAATCCGGACTGAATATTCACCTGAGTGAGTACAAGTGGCATTGCAGTGCTTATAATACTTGGTATGTCGTACATATTCATGGTTTTATCTGGATGATTTCTCATGCAGGCATCACAACAGTGTGTATTGCTTTTTTGAATGACCGATAAACTGCCCAGATAGCACACGTCGTCCATTCGACGTCCATATTTTGTCCAAATAATGTTCTGGAACTTCATATGGATGTCCATTGGAGGTGAGAAAAATAGAAGAAAAAAATTCAAGTTTCTATTTGTACTGCATGAGACGATAGCAGAAATAAAAGGCTATTTAGAAGATACAAATATTTTTAAAAAAGCTGTAAGTTTTACTTTTATTAAATAAAATAGAATCGTTTTGTAAAGTTTAAGAAATAATGCATTGAAAGTTATTTCATTTAATGTTCACAAATACATATTTTTATTGCAATTTTAGATTCAGCAGTTACCAAAACCAGGGACAAGGACATGTACGAACTTATAAAAAGATGTTTTGTTTCCATAATTTTTAATACCCTTAGGAAAGAATTCACAAAATATGATGGTATAAAAGTAAAATGCTAATTTAAAGAAACAATTGGCAGTTTTTTGTTTATATGTAAGTATAGGGGTTAAGCACATTACTCAATGCATATTTTTATATTAGTTAATAACATTTTATCTAAAAGTTTTACATTTTTAACTATCACTTTTGCCTGATCTGGTGTTTATTAAACTATTGATTTAAGACTCAATATTAGTATAAAATGTAATGTCTTTTTTTAGCTGCTGTTGAGAGTGACAATGGTGCTGCTTAAAAAGTAAGCGAAATAGCCTTAAGAAAATAAGAAGGTCAACAGAAAGAAGTCCATAGTTGAAATTATTTTATTTCTTATTAATATGGGTAGTGATGTCCATCAGATGTCCATAAATTGTCCAAAAGCAATACAAAAAAGAGTCCATATATGGACCTTTCATGGAGTCTAAATGGACGTCCAGGAGTGGGACATTTGTATAGTCCAATGGATGTCCAAGTGCCTGGACGTCCTTTGGACAGCCAATATGTCCATCAATGGACTTCTGATGGACATCCTATGGATTGACGTTCTGTGTGGGTGATCGATTCAATTACTGCAATTTGTGGGATCAGTGAGGTGGAAATCATAGCAATACAATTTAGTTTTTCTTGCAAAAGTCCAATGAATCGATGTGTATATGTGAAGACAGTAATTAATTATGAGACGGAGAGACATTTGTGTGTTTTTTAAATGTTTTAGAAGCACAAGAGAAGTTTTATCTTGCATCCAACCTGATTGATTATCTACTTCTACTGGCCCAACTGGCCAGTCTCCGATTAAGTGCTCTTGGTATCTTATTCGAGGAAATACGAATAATGGTGGAATTGTGTTGTCCAATGCTTGTGCTGCAAATACGTCACCAAAGTGCCTCGTTCAGCAGATGTAAGTGCGCCCATCTGTCTTAAGCCACGTCTTGCTACAACTCTGTCAAGCTTCTGCACAGTGCTAATTCCAGTTTCGTCGATATTGTAGATCACATTTTTTTACATTGACGAGTATTAACAGAGCTAATCAATTGAATTAAAATAAAAATTTAACAAGATTTGAAAAGTCGTATACACAAATTTATAAAATAAGCAGATTTACAAGAATTTAAAATCAAACATTTAGGAGAAGTTTGTGGCCTAACAATCTGAAAACACCAGCTATAATTCGCAATAATTTACTGTTGAACTTGAAAACATGAGGCAACTCTTGTGGAAACAACTTAAAAACAAATTCTATAACGTAACCTCTACGCAAAAAGTGATATAAACTTAATAATATTTTGTGTCAAGAATACCTTATGTTTCTAAATATGAAACATATAAAGTTTGATGTTGAAATTAGGCTCGAACAATGGTTATTCCAATTCAATCCTTTATACACAGTTAATCCTAAATAGTTTTCAATATCTATGGGTTTAAGAATATGTTATTGAGCAACACAATGTTTTTGATAGTTATGAAATCGAATTTCATTTGTCTTATAACCATTAACGAAAAGAACATTAGTTAGTATGAAACTAAGTAATTTATCCCATATATGCTTAGTTCAGATCTATCTGAGATACGATTAAGAAAAGTTGTTTTATTGACGTATCGTATAAAATTAACATTAGCGCTAATATTTTCTAAGTCGTTTGTACAAAACAAAAAGTGTATAGGTAACGGACTGGTCCCTTGTGGGACACCCATAGCGACTGTTTAATGGGTTAATTTTACTGTAAACGTCGAGGAAAATAGCCACATATAAAATACGTTTCTAAAATGGAATACCATTAGATTATTTCAATTAGCTTTGGCGCGGGCCAATCGCAATAAAACGTATTTCAGGATAATACATTTTTTCTTCAACGCTAAATGCAACGTACGTTGTCTAACAAGATTTTATAATTTCGCAAAATCGAATATTTTGCAGGTAAGTATTAATAAAATTAGTGCACAAGAGGATTATCAACTACCAACTTGTTACGCATAATATGTCTTTCAGCATAACATAAGCTATAATATATCAAATTTAACTAGTATTAATCTGTTAATTGGAATTGAAATGGCGATGTACCTAATATGAAATAATGCAATTTGGAAGCCACAAGAAAAGAATACCACCTGTTTTTGTTGAAATGGAAATGTTTCTCAAGAGATCAGGGATAAACAGTCGATATACTGCAAACAATGTTTATGTTGGTGCCATGTTAAAGGTCAAAACACAATATATTTTTGTACGAATTTTGTAAAATTGTTAAAATAAGTTCTTCCAATATATCCGATGCAATTCTTTTATATTTACTGAATTGTTTTTTTATGTGCCACAAAGTAATACAAATTTTTAATGTCTGGTTTTAATTTTTCTTAAAAAAATATGTTCCATATTAGAGACATATTCCATATTAGGTATAAAAATACAATTTTCTATAAAATATTTTTCTGTATAATAGATTTAATATTATGAATAATAAATTATGGTTTTCAAAGGTGTAAAGAAACATTATAAAAAAACAAGGGGTGTTAAGAAGACATTCTAAATTTAATACATACAAAATATAAAACGGTATTCCATATTTGGCTCACTTCCTCTACTTTTTGTAGAAATAAATACTGATTTCCATTTTCAAAACTTATTCTAACCTATTTATTAGATTTAGTGAATTTGATACAGTTATAATTTAGATTAAAGCTGGAATAATCTTTTTTTTTTAAGTTTACGTCTATGGATTTATAGCCAGAGCTTTAACATTATTCATAGCGCCACCGTGTTCTCTGTGTCATCATGAAATTTTCGCGTAGGTGTGAATAACGATCTCTACCAATTAACTAATTAAGCTGTAATTATTGAAAATTCGGCTTACGCATGTATGTATTTCTTTCCTCATTGCAGTTATTTAATTAATTATAGAAAACAACACGACATATTGCAATTTTCATTAACTTGTCTATAGTATGATTAGTGACCATTTCTCAATTTAAAAATGATTTAATTGATTTAAGTTATCATAAAATTAGTCTTATTTCTCAGAAACCTACAAACATCGAAATAAAAATGAAATATTCGGGAAAAGCTGAGAAGTGCTTTTTCTATAGATTTTTTTTTCAAACAAATCGAACAAAAGTGTCTATTAGAAAAGCTGAATTCATGACAGAGAAAACCATATTGTCAATGTGCTCATTTCTTTTTCTGATTTG